GGTACAGTAGAAGAAAAAAGAAAAACAAAAAAAAAATTTTCCTAAACTATGTGATCAGAATGGAGTCCTCATCCATTAGCAAAGAGAACCTACATCCCTCAGCAAATACATTCGATGGATTCAGCTATTCTGAGGGCATCTGTATTGAAAGGGCTGATTAAAGTAAATTCCGATACCTGCTAAAACTAATCTGCAAAAGTAGTTTGTAAGGAAAATTATTCATCAATGAATTTATATGCTCCTTTTACTTGTTGCATTAAATTTACAGTTTGTCACATCAAATTTAACTCTTGCCTTTGTATTTTATCTTTTAGCTTATTTTTGATAAAGATCAAATTCTACTACAAAAATATGACCCCAGTCCCCAGTTACAGTTTATTTAAATTTCAAAATGAAAAGCTTACTAAGAACAGATAAGATTGATTGCTCTCTCTGTCTTAGCATAATTGTATTTCAGGTGAACATCAATTTACTTTAAAGGACACTTCTAAGTAGCAGAATGCATCATAAATAATTCATCAATCATGGCAACTAGGAGAGTGGTTTACTCTAGCAGATTCAAGGGATTCAAAGTTCTAATTTTCTATAGTTATCTCTGCTCTACATTTTTAAATAATTTTGTTAAATAAATCCGTCCTTACATTTTCATGCTTATTACCCTAAATGCAGTGTATGCAACTGTCTTTTCTTTCTCTTTTCCCTTTTATTGAAAATAAATTCTTTTCTCATGCAATATATTCTGATTACAGTTTCCCCTCCCTCTGCCCCTCCCAGTTCCTCCCCACCACCTGTGTTATCCATACCCCCTGCACTTCTGCCTCACATTAGAAAAGAACAGGCTTCTAGGAGCTAACAACATAACAAAAACCACAAGGGTGTCTCCTTTCTTTGAAAATGACCCGCTTGTCTTTCAAATAAGCATATTTTATTTTCATTGGGACAAATAGCAACTCTGTAATCAGTAGTAAAACAAAACAGAGTACGTAACTGAAGAGCAGGCACAAAATTTTCTCAATTATGTAATTTTAGTAAAGCTAACAATTTGTTTTCATATTACTTAAACATCTCAATGACACTAAATACTAGCAGGTTTTCTGAAGCTCTTATATAAGTAGTTCAGGATCTGACATGTGTAAAAATTAGTTCAGTTTGTAAATGCTGATTAAACAACTCTAAATTATATACCAGCTTGAGTTTAGCCAGATGAAACACTGAGTGTTCTATGATGATGTTTTTTTTTTCTTTTGTCATACTGAGGGACTGAGCCTGCCTTGCATATCTTCAGTTTCTCCATCAGAGTAGCAATTTGGTATTAGAAATTTCCCAAACTGTGAAATAACCTTAAAATAATGACAAGAAAAAGAAAGGAGAAAATAGAAAGCATTTTACTTACTTGCAATCCCCTCTGAAAAACTGAATGGCCCATAAAATTAGCCAGCATTCTAATTAAAGCAGCACCCTGTGGGAAAGGTATTGAAAAGAAAAGAATGTCAACTAGTGTGATTCTAACAGTCCACATGTCAATCAAGAATGGCTCACTTCATCACTATATTCTATTTTTAAATATTCAAGGAGAAATACATGAAACAATATCTCACTTACAGATTGAAAATTCCATGTTTTGTGAATCTTTATGTTTTCTGGATCAAAACCTAGTACTTTAAGATGAAAATCCCTTAGACAGTATCTCAAGAAATGGTCTGTAGTTAGGAGTAATTAATACTTCTGTGAATATGGTACATGGCAAACTTAATAAAACACGGTACTTATACTCAAAAGCCTATGATCTGGTAACATAAAGACACCCATGTTAACAAATATTCATATGAGCTGAGCGATGGTGATGCACACCCTTAATCCAAGCACCTGGGTGGCAGAGGCAGGTGGATCTCTGTGAGTCCAAGGCCAGCCTGGTCTATAGAGCAAGTTCCAGAACAGCCAGAACTACACAGAGAGACCCTGTCTCAAAAAACCAAAATGAAAGAAATATTCATATGAACATATAATATTTATATAAATATTCATATGAACATATAAACTTAGCTGTTTGTTGAACTCCTAACTCAAGTGAGAATACTCTAAGGCAGAAGTGAAGACTCAAGTGTGAAGCACTCAGGTTTTCTGGGTTCAAACTCTATCTCTGTTATATTTTTTAAATACTTTTCCAGGACAAATTATTAGACTCTCTTCACTTATTTTCTTCTCTTTCAACATGCAGTTACCAATAGTCCTATTCAGTGAGACCGTTTTGAAGCTTAAATAATTAGCATGCATGTATGTATACATATATGTGTGTGTATGTATGTATGTATATGTATGTGAAGTACATACATTAAAATTAGTGTGAAGTATGTATGTTAAAATTAGTATACATGTGTGTGTTGAATACATATTAAAATAGTACTTGTGTCTAAAGAATATATATTAAAAGGGTATGTGTGTGTTTGTGCATAGAGCAGTTCAAAACATAATCTGAATGATAGTGTGAGCCATCAATGTTATTTTCATGATGGCTCATTTTTGTCATGTACATTTCTTATGGAGACTAAATGTAATTATATGCTCCTATATGTCAGGAAGTATATATGGTTAATATATTCTGAGAAATAAAACACTAAATTAGAAAATTTGAGAACTACCATTATAATAAACAGAATACTATCAGTGCAAAATGTGCTTAAGTAATCAACCTGAAGCCATCCAAGTAATAAGGGGTAAGCCAGGGTGATCACAAACCTATCTGTAAACATAAATTAGTCTTCTAAAAGTCACTAGTTTATACTGAGCTGCTCAGGTCTTAGTAAGCAGTGATTCTTTATGTATAAATGACAGTCTAGGCATATTGGAAACTCCTTTGTGCCTACATGTCCCTCTCCACCATCTTTACAAATGCATATACTGCAGTAACTCCTTTCTCCAAGGCCTTTCTTTTAACTTTTATTAATGCACATCAATGGTGTATGCTGATAAGATCCACTATGACAGCTCAAAGCACACACCCAGGATATCCTCTTCAAAGAGAGGATCCTACAACACTCATGCAACCTGCACCGTCCTGCTGCACACAGTCAGTCCAGCAACACGATCTGTGATTTTCCACTGTTTGACACTTAAACTGCTCCCTTTAATTCTGGAACTTTGAGGCAATATAATATTCTCACCCCATTAGTCAATCACCCTTAAAGCACTCTCTCAAAAGAAAAAAAAATCTCAATTCCCGAAGGACTTGTTCCTCAAATAAGAATGTTCTCATCATCTCATCTTCTCAGCAAATGAGCTGACAAACCATAGCATTTTATGCCCCTCCAGATATTCTCCCTCTCACATCTTCTACCCATTTCTCTCTCTATGCATATTCTGTTGCTTCTTGCTCTTTGTCTTCTGCACACTTGTATGAGTCCATAAAATATAAGCATTTGTGACTTAATCTGGGGAGCAGGTAAGAATCCCCTTTTGAACGCATCAGCTCTGCTCCCAGAATTTCCTTGACAAGCTCTCCTGCTCTGTATTTTCCAATCTAGTCTATCCACCCTGAGGGAAAACCTGTCAGTTCTTCCACAGCACTAACCCTTACCACCTGGGGAGTGAGAGACTCTGAGGCAGTCAGGTCCAGCTTCCCTTCAGAGCAAAAGAGCACCTTCAGATGGTTGAAATGTTCCCTTCCAGGTAATGATGACTTGGTCCCTGTTCAGGCTATAAAAGCTATCAGTTTGGTGTGGACTAATGACAAAAGATTACTTTGTAATCATAAAGAACAGACTGTTTTCCCTGTCTTGCTAGGCTGGAGAAGGGTGCTCAGAAATAAGACATGGAAATATAGCCAATATTCAACTGATAACAACACTATTATAATAACACTGAACTCTTCATTATTGTTATGTCCTATAACTCAATTACATTTCAGAAAATATACTGTCTGGATATTTTGATGTTGCCTGGAGCAGACTACACTCTTCTATATTTAACTGACCTTTTCTGGTGAATGCTAATTTTTTAAACGCCTATTTTAAAGAAGTCTGCAAAGATGTGTCAGGTGGGCTGACCAGATGTTCTTAGTCAGTGTATAGGACACTTAAATATGCATAGCTATAACAAAGGCCACACCTTACAGCACAGCTAAATTCCGCATATTCTTCTGTTTTAAAGAAGGCTGAATCATATTTCTCTGTATCTTGAGAATATCTGTTCACCAAACTAACCTCGTTTAGAAAGTGGCAACCTATAATCACTTGTGACTGAAAATTCCAGCCTCAAGAAAAGGAACTGAGCAGTTACTCACTTTGAGGAGCTTTATGGAAAGGAATCAGATTGCTTCTTAGGAAACATCATCATGATGATAAAACAAGGACCAGGAGAGGTACTGTGGTAACTGACTGTTTTCTGACTGATTTTTACAGAATAACATAAACAATGTGTCACAATAAGAGGCTTGAAAACTCAATCATTGTTTAGTAGTTTGTCTCTTTTTGATATATATATATATATATATATATATATATATATATATATCTTTACTTTGCAATATCTGAGTACCTAATGGTTTCAGAGGTATTAAAAATGTCCAGAGAAAGGACCTCCTTTCCTCAGACTTGGCACATCCCTTTCCTGCAGTTGGCTAAGATGAGCTCCTTTAATTCAATAATGGTTGACAAAGAGAGAAACTGTCTGCACACATGGCAATTACTTTGTATTCTTGAATACTAGCTATTCATCAAGGATATAGCCTTTATTGTTTCTCTGGTATGTTTTCACAATATGTAATCACTTTTTAAGAGAAGGTAATCTTCCAAACTCAATTACTTCCTAAGCATATGTTTAGTGAGTTTGTAGTTTGTTCAATATCTCACAGAATACCAATAGGGATGATATTAGCACACCTCATCCATAGGGGGTTGAAGGGTCTAAAGAGTAACATTTGTGCTAGCCCCATCTACATGATGTAATAGGGATAGAATTTACACAGCCATGCAGGTGAGGAGGTGAAAATCCTGACGTATAGACTTCATATAGATAGAAAGCCATAAAGACACATAGTATGGGATTGTGTGGGCAATAGGTTGACCATATTTTAGAAGTATGAATTTCAGTGCTAAATATTTGGAAGGGGTGGGGCCTAAGTATGATACCCCAGAACTGGTAAGAGCTAAATACTTGCTTAAGCATGATACTCAGAATGGGTAAGATAACCAGAAACAAACAAGAGAAATGAGTAGTAGCAAAACAGTTTAACAAATGTGACAGAGTAAGTTTGAATTTTAGTCTAAGATAGGGGTGACATTAGAAGATATGCATATATACATAGTTTAGTAGAAAGTAGGTAAACTACTAAAAATCACTTGAAAAATTGTGTAGTTTTAAAGGTAGGCAAAAACACAGAGGACTGGAAAAGCAATGCAGCAAAGAAATGAATTGTGGGAGAGGGCAGGGCTGGAGACATAGACAGGGTTACGAGTAGGTAAGAATGCCAGAGGCATGTGATCTTGTTTCAGTGAAGACAATGGAAAACAGAATCTATAGGACTTTCAACAGACCATATAGTCTTCCCTGTAGAGCTCAGGATAAGCACTGGGGAAATCAAATTAAAAGCAAACAAGCAAACCGGGATGCCAGAGTGTGACAGACAGCTGAAAGCAATGTGGGCACAAGCGGAGTCATTGAAGACGTGGTTGAGACTTGTGCTTCCAATTTCCAGGAAAATAATATTTAACAGAGGAATGTAGTCAGTAACAATTAAGAATTATAAAAGCATATAAACAGGAGGCATTTGTGTTTTGCTATTTTTGGTTTTTCAAGACAGGGTTTCTCTGTGTAGCCCTTGGCTGTCCTGGAACTCTCTCTGTAGACCAGACTGGCCTAGAACTCACAGAGATCCACCTGCCTCTGCTTTGTGAGCACTGGGATTAAAGGTGTGCAGCACCACCCACCATCCAGCCTTTTTTTTAATATGGGAGAAAGTGTTGTTCCAACAAATAATGATTGAGTAGAGATAGTGATAGGAGACATGAAGATCAAGAAATGAGTGTTAGAACCAACTTCCAAGAAAAGGAAGAGAATTTAAGTGAGTCTCTGAGAGAAAGAGCATAGTTTTCCTGAGGGAAAACTGAAAAGGGAAAGGGTAGGAAGATTTTAGAGACTAAACCACAGATGGAAACAGTCTCAGGACAGCAGTCTGTAGTTGTGAAAGAAGGTATAGTCTGTCAGTCTGTTTCACCACTGTGGACCCACACCCAAAACACTTGTTGGTACACACGTAATTCTCAGATAAGCAAAGGTCTGTCTCATTTCAACAATGCAAAGGCAGTCTTTAGATTATGTCATCCGGAGAGTAGAACTAAATTCAAAAGAACTACAGGGGGTGGGAAGGAGTGGAACCTGCGGGGCTGTAGAAAAAGTCCTGTGTGAGCAGAAATCACTCAGAATGCATCATTCACTGTAGAACCGTGGTGTGATATAGTTACG